AGGAAGAGCGTGTGAGAAGGAGTTTGCGAGGCCAGGAGAGGAGGAAGTGAAACCTCTTCGACCTCTATCGTCCTTCGAGGTCCACGAACGACTGAGGCGCACGAAGCGACGTCGGGCCGGCTATAGCCTCCCCTTCCTACTTTCACGTGGCGTGCTCCCGTTTCCAGTGGAGGCGCGGAATGGAGAGCCTCTCCATGGGCCATTTACCATTACCATCATCGGTCGACGGCGACCGTCAAAAGGAGAGGAGAACTGCCGCCCGACTATGAGAGGTAGGAAAGAAACGTACCATCGTCCTCCCTTCTCTTCCTCTTCTTTCCTTCATCGCTTCTGAAGGTAACGCAGGTCGTCGAATGCCGGGAAGCGCCGGGGGACCGCCGTTTCTAGGCCAGCTCTTCCTCCGTCACCGTGAGACGTCCTTCTTCTGCTCCTTCCGTCGTTCTTCCTCTACTGCTTCTTCATCTTCCTTGACCAATTTCCCCGGTAGTAGGCGTCATCGCCTGCGACGGGGGTCTCGTCTCACTGGCCGCACCATGGCTTGGAGGTCAAGGATACTTGGCCACGAAATTCTGACACAGATCGCGCGAATGATGAGGACGATTCGGGATACGAAGGACGAGATATAAGGGCGAAAATCGGTGACGGTTGGATGGTCCTCTTTCGGTGCCCGGTGTACGATTTTGTAACCAAGAAGGCGGGAAAAAGAATGAACCTGCGGAGAGATTTACACTGCTGATCGCGCACGATATGTATGTATACGATACAATACAATACAACGTATTATCGCGATACGCGTCGTTTCGTCACGTCCGACTTTCGGAACTCGAAGTTAGATTAGATGCGCGAACGTCACACGGATATTAGGATTGATAAGAAGCCCCGGCGAGAGAAAGCCGCCGATAATAAAAGCTCCCGAGAAAGCCGCCGATAATAAAAGCCGGCGGAGTAGGTCGAGCGAAACCCGAGATCGAATAAACGCGGGGCGTGAAGCCGAGGAGCCCGATTAATTAAAAGTATATTTTCGTGTCCTCGGAGAGAGGAGGAAAGAAAAGATGAAGAGTGACGTGACCCGCGCGCACGCGAATAATAGCTACACTTTCTAATTGAAGTGTCGTAAGAAATCGAGGGGATGTTCTTGCTAACGATAGCGACATTAGTCTCCTTTCCTACTTACGATTCCAAGCGGTTGTTTCACGCGCGTGACGAATCTGCGCCGCAGATCTGACACCGCAGCTGCACGATTGACATGTAGTTCTGTCTTTTTGCGGTCTCTTTCCCGGGAGAAATTCCGGAAGGAATTAAGGCAAAAATAGTCTGTTTGTATGCACGTGGCTAGAAATTTAATAGTGCGTTATTGGCATCTTAAAAGATTTAGAGAGAATAGCATTAAAAGAAACGTCGCGCCAAAATGAAAACATAATTTCAATTCTTATCCCTTTGCATGTAATTAAAAAAATTTATTTAACAGTTTTGTGTGTATATATAACAAATAATAAATATGTCAGAATCATTAATAATAAATCGACAGCTTTATCACGCGCGGTGTACAACAGCTTTCGTGCACAACTTTCGAAAGCTTTATGAAATTATTGAATGACGAAGCGCAACGAGTGCGTACGCGATTCGACGAGATCGTTCTCGTTGTGCCCATCAAGACGGTCTAATACGGTGGAAGGAGGGCTAAAAAACACGCTTGTCGATCGTTGCACGCGAAAGTGTGGCAGTGACCCGCGGGAACAAGTTTCGCATGCAGCAGCTGCAACACATCCCGAAACACATCCCGGAGCATCACCAAGTCCGCGAACGATCGTTTATCAACATCGGCTGTCAGGGCTATTGAATCGCGAGATGCTCGCGCGTACACACACGCGTTCCTCACGTCTCTTCTCGCGTGTTCTCCAGCCTTTACCATTAACCCACTTGCGCCTTTAACGTCGATCCAAGGTAACCGGCAGCCGTACGACCGATTTTCCGCGCTTTGTTCGTCCACGCGTTCGCAAAATCGAGAACGCGAACGGATATCAGCAGCAGCAGCAGCAGCAGCAGCAGCAGCAGCAGCAGCAGCAGCAGCGAATACCTCGTTCGCTATTCGTCATTTTCGAATCGAGGGATCCGACAATTCGTTTCGATAACGACGCGCGTTGTTCGGCGCTTTCGCGTCGAACGTGCGGAACGGCTCGTTTCAATTATAAATCCGCTCTTTTGTTCGCCGGACATTCGCGGCGATGGTATGGTATGGTATTTTCACGCTCCTCCGGCAAAAACTCCTCGCACGATATATCTTATCCTTTATCGCGCCGTTTATATCGAGATCGATGAATTTTTTTGTCGAACGAGGCGACGAGTGATCCACGCGAGACTTGTTGATAAGCGTCTTCCAAGCCGCGCGACACGTTCGAGTGGCGGATGTAAGACGTGAGTCGGCGATACCTTTTGACCGGATTGAATTTGAATGGACTCATTATCTTCCTTAATAAGCGGCACTTCGTGCACACAACCGCGCCGCCTAAGCTGCCTTTCTCATGCCGAGAAGAAGCTGCCTTACATAGCTAAGTTAGCGTGTGTCTCCTCTCGTCCGCAGCTTTTGTTCACAACCCAATTTTGCGACCAATTGCGATCGACCCTCTTTTGCCGTGGTTCTCATCTCCACTGTGAAAAATCAGCAAGATTTCAAATGACGTTATTGTATTATTATTATTATTGAATAACAATGAATATCTTTTCGCAAAATTTATCTCTCTTTTTAGCTAAACAAATTAACTTCAACGCATAAATTGCGACAAAAGTAGAAATAAATAAGTTTGTTAAAAAATAATTCAGAATAAGTTTATTCACGAAAATAAATAACAAATAGTAGATTATTTATGGGAAGACACAAAGTGTAAGCGGAATGAATCGTGAAGGTATCAATAACGTTCTCAACTTTTGAAACTTTGTTCAAGTGTTACCAGAAACGTCAAACACCACGCTTGAATTAACTGTGCAAACAGCGTGGATGCTTCGCAGAATTCAATAACCAGTCAGCTCTGAGCGTATCATGCAAATCGTGCACTCTGTCGACTAAGAGCAATCTGAACGACCGAAAAATTGAACTTTTCTACAGTGTCCCCGATATACTCAGCCGGAGATATAATTTAATAACGGCGCGAATTGAACGATCGCGCTGATTTGTATCAGACGTGATCTATTTTATTGATGCACGTGCACGCGAGATATCGTAAATTTGTAAGATTAGATTCCGTCGTCGGGAGAAAATCATCGAAAGTTACTTTAATTAGTATGGGGAAAACGCATATCAATAATCAAAATGAAGAAACAAGTATTAAATCGTGTTGATGCGTTACGACGCAATCTCGTTACTCGAGGAAATCTCAATTAAAAGGCGTAGCCGGAATATAAAGATTCGCAAGAGTGTATTATACTCCAATAAACGCCGTCTTTATGGCTTCTGAATAATTAATGCGAAGAAATGATTGTTTAACATTGTCGATTTTCTTGACGCGAGATACATGGTGCAAAATAAAAAACTTGGAATCGAATTCTCGGTTATTCTCATTCGTTACGATTCGTTTCTTCCTGCGAGTTTCTAATCATAAAACATAGCCACAGATATATGCTTAATACACGGCACGTAAGGCATTCTGATTGTGCATTTACGGTGCATTTCCGACTTTACGACGGTCATTAACCGATCTAATTATATACGCACGCATATGCGCACGCACACTGATAAAAACGGCATTTCGGATCGGTACGTGTGCATGAACGTATTACTATAAAAAATATTGTCGCGTTATCCCAAACCAGAATACGTTATACCGTTAGATTAGCCTGTCATTAATTGATATTGGTTTATAAGTTGAGTGAAATTGCAGAATATATGCGAGAATATACGCACGGTTTGGCGACACGTTCATGAGTGATTCAGTTTCCTCAGGCGATCTAAGACCTAAGAGATTGATTTTGTTTTCTTATTTGATAGTGACAAAGCCGATAAGCTCATTAATATTCCGACGAGAATTAAAAAAAATTAGAGGAAGCATTAGAGCTTGGCGAACCGTTTAGAGCACGATTTATTACTCTACAAGCCGGTTTCATCGACATTGGTTAACTTTAACTGTTCCCCGATCTCTCTCTCTCCCTCTCACGTTTTATTTTCAAAAAAAGACAAAGAACTAGAATAGCTCAGCGCGAATAAAAATGTCGATCTGTCGAAACGTCGATATGAAGAGAAATTCTTTGTGTCTTGATATATAAATCAAAGCTGCACAAAAGTGATGTGTTTTTTAAATTTTATCCACGCCCGGTTTTGTCGTTCGTTCTCTTTTGTTTTGTTGTTTGTGTCTCTTGAAAGAATGTACGTTTTTTTTTTTCTAAAAAATGATAAAATAAAACGCTAGCTGTGGGCATCTGACAGAGGCTATCTCTCTTGGCGGGATAAGACAAAATAATACAGAACGAGAAAAGGAAGCACTATACCGTAGTCGCTTTCGTGATTCGTGAATTTCTATGCATTAAATAAACATTTCGCTAGTGTCAAAGCTCCATATGGTGTTCTAGTTCCATCTGAATAATACAGGCATCGCTGCTCGGTTTTAAAAGTTAAAACCAAGTCTCTTCGCAGGATAATCCAGGACTAGATGGTTGCAAGACTCCCCCTCCCCTCTAGTATGAGTTCGCGAAAGTAATACCTTAGATGTTAATAAATTAATATAAAATTTACCAGAAGATGCGAGAAGTGTATTCTAATGCGAAAGTACGAAACACACTACTGTTGTATTTGTACCGCACATTTCCCGTAATCTATTTTTCGCAAAAGAAGCAAATGCTTCGAACATCTGCCGCTCTAATATTATCAGTGGTAATATATCGAAGTGCGTATTTTCTTCAATAAATAAAGCATCATCGGTGCCAAATGACTTAACGCTACTTCCATCCGTCATTTTATAATCGAATATTATTTGTTATATTATGATGTTTTACCTGTTTAGTTTTAATTCGGATAGTTTAACAATAGCACACAGTGATAGATTTTCTCGGAGAAAATATATAAATTTAATGAGAAGGAAAGAGAGAGGAGAGAATTCGATTTAAGGCATATGTGGTCTCTCCTTGATTTCAAAATTCTCAAGAATATTATTCGTCGAATAAAAGAATTTAATTGGCGTCTCGGCAACTAGATTATATCCACTGTGATGAACAGGCTTCTTATTAGCTTCAAAATAATGCTTCGCGTATATAGTGACTAGTCGTGCGACTCCCGGTCTTATTGACGTAATTGCCGTTTCTCACGGAAACACCGCTCGCGAACGATACGGAATTTCCTTTCGCATCGAAAACGACTTCAGTATGATGATGAAACGCGTGTGTGTCACACTTGTGCAATGCGCAATTCCGTAATTATCTGGCTCGCAAGTAAGATCAAATGGCGATAATACACGCCAGCTGAAAAACACGAGCGCGCACACTTCGGTATGTAAAACCGCAAGACATGCGATCTGAGATGAACGATCAATGTCGGGGATAAATGAGAACCGTCAGCGTCCACTTCGAGATCTTTGAATCCGATGTCCATCTTGAATAGTCGCCGACATTAGACTCGGCGGCAGCAATTTCGATGGAACGACGTATCGAATATCAATATCGAATTGTCTAAATTAAATGTATTGTCGCGCGTTACACGAGTTGATTTTGACATTATTGGAGACTCGATACTGATGACTTTACGCAGTGAAACGACGATCGTGCGGTGAACAACTCGACGATACAGAAGATCTCTCGGAGACCCTCGGCGTCTTCGACATCGCTGTACAAGTCTTGTTTGCGGTCACGCGCGCCTCTTTCTCATTTGCAGCATTTGCGTAACGGCGCACACGAACAACCGCCGTTTTCTGTGCGATAATCACGTTTAATCTTAACGCAGGATAATATTATGCCTGGTCAGCTGTAGCGCGAAAAGCACAATCGGCTCTTCTTTTCCGTTTTACCGCAAGATGAAAAAATTGCTGCCAAATGTATTTTACATATTTTGGTATTTCGAGTCATTCGGCGAACGTCGCTTGAGAGATTTAATGTGTTTACTCTTCGCGTTTTTCGTCGAGTTTGTGCGAAATTTCGCGCACGCACAGCACGATTATCCGAAATTCCGCTTCGTCGCATCGCTACGTAATCGTCGCGTCGCCCGTTATTATCGCATCCTCTTGGCCACCCACTCGCTGCATCAGCGGATGCAGAATGGCACTTGGACGCGCGGATTAAATTACGCTCAATTTGCTTAAGACACACGGCCGTTTTAAATCTGTTTACGGCTTACGTCTGTACCGCGTTTGAAATAAAATCCTTCGCGTTCACGTGTCGCGGTATACACGGTAAAAATACATGTGTGAATATAAAATACAAGACGCGTATAATATATAGAGACTTGACACAAATCTTTGGAAATGTCTCATTTCTTTTCGAGCGAAAAAGATAATGGCAAATGTTTTCACGTGGCCAAAGTTTTTACGAGAAGCGTGAATCGCGATGAAAGGATAATGCCGCAGGAATATCACACTCCATACCTGTGTGTGCGGCTGCGTATATAATTTGCATGTTTTGCCGATCGCTCGCCTGCTACTCGATACTTTAAAGCCGCTCTCACCGTGTGTGCCTGATCTACTTAATACATTATTTTCCTCTCCGTATTATCATTTTTACTCGGCTCAATACTATCGCGATCGATGTAGACCATATTTTCCGGATATCAGTTTTTCGCATTGCTCTACAGAAGAGATTTTGTATCTAGATATTACGCATACTTTTCTCGAGGATATATATTTTAAAAGAAATCAGACCGAAAAACACGCTTTAAAATAACGAGTAGAATAAAATTATCTATATCACCATATCACCATATTACCATATCACCGATCGATTTATATTATTTTTGAAAAAAAAAATCTCTAAAAAGAAGAGAGATTTTCCACATAATTTTCTTGAAGACGGAAAGGAACAGAATATTTATTTTGTAACATAGAATACCAGACACACATACACACACATTGAGATTGTATAAACCTTTAACGTAGGAATTTGTGCGAAAAACGGCGCATATGGCTCAAATTAGCGACGACACCGACGCGAATGTGCACAGTCACTAGTCTACAATCACGCGCATCGACGAATGCAAGACGATCGTAGCTTTCGCTGTGTGCACATAAGTCAGCAAGGCTACCGTGACTTTTACACCTAGTCTGTGCCGAGAACTCGGTCGCCACTTGGACGCTTTCGGCAAACGCGAGAGAGGAGAGCACACTTTGTATCGAGCATCCCTTTTTTTCCTAACTGTTAACCCAGCCTCCTTTAACGGACACGAGCGAAAAACGAGATTATATTCGATTGCTCTTCAGCGATCAATTTACGATTTTGTTCTATGTATCCAATTGAGAGAATATCGCGCCCGAACTCGAGAGATTCTACTGTAAATGGGCTTTTATATATTAATTAAGATTTGTCGCTTTTTATTTTGCAGTATAGATATAAATGATCTTAAGAATTCCATTCTTGTTTTATTAACATCGTAGATGAAAGAATTTGTAGTAGATTGAAGGATCTTTGTTTTTTAATTCTTATTTAATATAAAAAACAGAAAAATATTTGTTTAATGTGAAAACTTGATGAAAATATCATTATGTCATCAATATAGTAATGTTAAATAGTTGCATCTTACTATTATTACTATTATATTATTATTGGAAACAATACACATATAAATTAACAACGTAAACAGTTGCAGTTTTTGGTCGTTCGAATCATGGCAGGAATAATGTTTGCCAACGGTGGATAAACTAGATATGTTGGAGAGTTTAATCCATCAATACATATATCTCACACGCAGGCGACATCTCGAAATTACCATTTCTTCAATCTTTAGAAGCTTAGCCTCTCGCAACTTGATTGATAAAATAAATAATATGAGAAAATGATATAAATGTTTATCAAGATTATATCTATATTTATTTAGAATCCGTCACACAAGAATTATCAAGAAGAATTATCAAGTTCTTTCTTATTTTATATTGATACGTTCAATGTTATACATAAAGAAATAAAAACATCAATAATTTTGTACACTAAAGTAAAACTAAATAAAGATTTAAGAGTAGAAGAATAAAAAGAAAAATAGAAAGGTAAATTGAAAAGAGCGAGTAAAAATCAAGATTTTTCCGCGAGATGATTTCACGTGCTCAAATGTTGAGAAATTCCCTAGGAACTTTCATCGCGTCCCTCCACTTGTCGCTCCATCTGCAGTTGCCTCAACGGCGTCCCTGCTACATGCGTTGTCATTCCGGGAGCGAGGATCACGGTTTTATCGGAGGCTGCGTGAGGTGCGCGAGAACGGCTTCCCGCGAAAATGTGGTAAGCTTAATTTTCTGACCGGAGCGGACCCAGCGATCGGGCCGATGATCAGCTGATCGGCCGGCGGGTCCGGCTTGTTTACAAACATCGCGTAGCGCACCTAACCTCCTCAATACTTGGCACATAACCTGTCCAATTTTGGCATGGCATGCCGTATCTCGGATGCCGATACCGCGATGTCAATGACATGGGATTAACGCGAACGCGATCGAGATGTTTCGATTCAAGATATATTCTAATCGTCCATTTTTTTTTTTTTTTTTTTTCCTTACAGATGCACTCCACGGGCAATGGCACGATGGTCAACGGTGCTATCCGGGGTATTCTTGGCTCTTTCCATGGTCCTCTCCCTGGGGAAGCTGTTAATGCTCGCCGCAGGGACTGGAAGCAATGGGGAACTCACGGAGGCGGACCAGTGGCTCGCCGAGATCGGCCTCGCCAAATATCGTCCGCTCTTTAGGAACAAAGGTAAGTACCGTAGCGTTATCAGAGACTCTTGATAACTCTTGATTCGGGGAATGCCGCGGTATCTCGATTATCGAGACGCTTATACAGCTCTACTCACTTTATTAGACATATTATCATAAAAGGATGGTAAATTCTTTGATTCTCGTAAGAGACGTAAATTAATTAATTTTTTACGCGCGAATAAAAACACTTAGATAGTTATAGAAAGAATGTAACTGAAAAAATACAAATTATTAAAACAGTTTATTATAATTACGTTGTGCGCGTATTAATCGTGTATTTTGTCTATAAATAATTTCTGATATCAAGATTTTCTTTTAAACTTGAAATGCCAGTTATTATAATGGAGTAATTATCGCATATGTAATGCCCTGAAATAGAACGTATGTTACATCAAGATCACGTCGATGTGAGTTGCGCAAAAATTTGCTCGCAGCTCTCGTATGCACTGCAAACGATGCGTAGGTCGATTATCTTTGTGTGTTGAAGGATATATACGTGCACACGCTTGACACAGATAATGTATATTAGAGCGTAACAATCCTTTTTTTCCTCAATGACTGATTCCGTAATTTGCCATTCATTAGTTGTCATTTACATCATGATGCAATCATTTTACGCATCATATTCAGTTTGAATAATATACTTTGACACGCAAATTTCGGCTGAATTTTATAAATTATTAATGTAAGGCCTTACACGCATACATTGTAAAATGAATTAATAAATCTTAAGCACGTGTAGAATTCGCGTAGTAATATAAGACGCACGGAGAGATCGCATTATGCATTATTATGGTATATCGTGTAATTCACGTTGAAGGATTCGCGTAAATCTTGATAATATAGCACACACACGCACATTATCCACCGCCATTAATCATACACGATTTTACCTCCGTTAAATATGTGACACTAAGCCCGCTCTGTAAATCTTCTTAAAAAAATCTTCGGAGAAAATGTGATCCATAAGTACAAAAAAAAAAAAAAAAATGTCTCTTTCAAACTACCATGTCTAGAAAAAAGGTCTCATATAAAAGTTATAAAGCTTTGAACGTGACATTTCATAGATATAAGAGTATTGCTTTTAGATTTTCTTTGTTGAATATTTTTACTGCTAATTATATATTTGCAATAACGAGATGGCTAATTGTAAAAAGAATTGTAGTTAATCATATCACTTTCACGAATTGAGGTAAATTATATTGACCGCTCTGAAAAGAATATAAACGATAAGAGACATTTATTATCACGATTAGAATGATGGCGTTATTATCGGAAACTTTATGTGTGACGTAATGATTTATTGTTTGGCACAAAGTCAATTCACTCTGCGGACAGTATCCCGGATACTATCGATTACCCGTAAATTTGATCTGCCTTTACAATGAGCCGTAGCCGCTTCTCTCAAAGGAGATCCAACATGTAATATAGAACTCCGTAATATACAATAGATATCCGAGAGGGAAATGAGAGACTCTGAGATGAATTTTAAACCTATACATCCAAGCAACATTTGCATCACATTCTTGGGGTCGCTCGGTTCAATGTATTAAAGTTCACACGTTTCAGGTTTATGTACAAGAAAAGAAATTATAAATGCCAATAATTTAGAAATGGAGAACTCACACACGTGTAATCGAATTTATCGCGAATATTACAATATCCGCTGATCAATTCGACGACATCATGCGATGATTGTCACATGACGTCGTCGCGGAAAGATTAATTTCGCCGGGATCTCCGAAAATGTTGGGTTCGCTCGAGAAGATAACCATCGACGCCGTAAGCTCATTCGCTGAAAAGATAACGAAATCCCTTGTTCGCGCGCTCGATATCGTAAGAGTTATTCTTTCTTGCGAACAATTCCCCGCCGATATATCTGATTATATTGCCAAAGTTCGCGAGTGGCTATTACGCGGGAGGAAGAAGTATTCGCGATTCATTAATCTCGCGCGATGCTTGGGGGTTACATCTTGCCGATTCCGAGATTAATCGCCACGCATCAGCGACGATATACGAATGATCGTTGAGACGCCCGTTTTTTCGTGCGGCTTCCACGCTCTAGCTTTCGAGTCCGGAAGAAACGCGCTGATAAAGCGATAAATCAACAGCATTGCCCAATTCTTTATCGTTTTGGCTGCCAAGAATATCGGCACTTTCTCTCTCTCTCTCGTAGTTCACGAGCTTTACAGCGTATATACATATATATCTCGTTATCGGCGGTTTACGAAGGGACGCGTTCGCTCAACCGCGACTTTTTCAATATTTTCATCTTGGCGCTAAGTCGTCGGCACGTGCGATTTCTTTCGCATTTGTCGAGAAACTATTGCCGAGAAAACGACGCGGTAATCGTCCTTGATTCTTCATCGCGCTCTAATTTCTTCTTAGGAAATAGCGATGCAGTTGCCGCGTAATTGAAATAGTCTCGCATGATAATTACGAGATAAGGAAAAAGTCTGATCTGAAATACATCCACTGCTGAAGAAATATTTTTTTTGGCGGGGAGCGGAAGGGAAACAATGTCGTGACATATCGACATACACTCGTGATTTAATGCGAATTATTAATATCGAGAAACGTTATACTAATATCATATCCACTAACCGATAAACGCCATTTGCCTAATGGCGTGTGGCTCTCTCTCTCTCTCTTTCTCTCAATAACCGATAATGGCTGTTGCGCCAAATTAATCGACGCGATACTGTCATTGATAAACGGGAAAAATATAGGCTCGCGCGCGAAATTGCAATTATTAACGTAGCTCGCAACGCGCGAATAGACATATCGGCTATAGTTTGCGTCGCAGTTAAGTTATAGTCGTTCTTGACATGAGCATATAGACTCGGTTAAACGGCTATAGTTATCGATAACAAAAGGTTTAACTTAACTAAGTATGGATCGTTTGTTGGCGTCTCTCTGTAATTCGACGAACATTCCTCGAGTATTGTTATCAAAGCGTTCTCTATTCGCGTTCTCGAGTTTAGCGTTTAAAGTGAGAATACACATTAGACGCGAGCTCTTACCGCGTTCCTGGCCGCGCAAACGCCACGGCGTTTCGTGGCGAAAGAAATCCAGAGCATCGAAAGTTGTCTAGGTTCTGGTTAGCGAGTGCGGAATGGCGATGAAGCCTTGAAAATGAATAATGAATGATACACGCGGCATTCGGATCCGCATCGATCCACAGCCGAGAGTGGATGTCGTCGGACATGCACGACTATTCATTTCGACCACTTTCCGCAATCGATGCGGGAAGGTATGTTTACAGGCTCCTCGCGCGCGTTCGTTCAAGCGGATAGCTCGATTTGCGATCCCCGGAAACGAGAAAATTCGAGGAAAATCGAAGACTTTTTAAAGTTAGTTGCCACGATATTTTAATCGTCGCGTTACAACTTGAGTGAACAGTTAAAAGTTGCAAATGATGACATTAATTCTACGTGCTATTGGACACATAAATACGCTAATGCGATAAGAAAGATAAATAATATTGAGTCGTTTAACGGAAAAATGGGCTTTTTTTCAGAGTGTTTACTCCCTGGAAAAACATGGAAATCCTGAATTCTCAGGGAATATTCTTGTATCTGGAGAAATCAGGGAATTCTCATGGAATTTTATTGAGACTCAAGGAATTTAAAAAAAATTCTTTCTGATAATTTTGCTCTTATACTATAAGCAGTAGGCAATCCGTCAAAATATATTATAAATATCTATCTTTGTTTATATATATTCAATGTTTTAACAAAATATTGAATATACAGTACATTTTCTTTATTTTAATATTTAGTAATAAAAAATGAAAATGTTATACAAGCTAAAAATTTTTATCTTAATAAAAGTTATTCAGTTTTTTTCAGTACATTTGTAAAGCACTTGAAACTTAAGTGGCTTTGCGTTTTTCCTTCGTATGAGTGAAAAACATTAGAGAACGCGTACAATAAAAAAACTTATTTTAGGAAATAGCACCAAAAGATCTTTAAAATATTTTCTTTACGTGGAATTTTGAACAAAAATACCTGGAAGACCAGGGAATTTTTAGAGAATTTTTTTACAAGATTTAACTAGACACCCTGTTTTTAATCTTGCTATCAAATAGCTTTTCAATTAAGCTTGGGTAATTAGCTCGAACATCGAGATGGCGGCTTGTGTTGCATTAATTACATCGAGATAATCGAACATTTGTATGTTTATGTCAGACATTTATATGCCGACGAAGCGTCGTCATCGTCGATAGTCGAAAATTATTATTCATACATCATTCGACGGTGAGGAATTCTTCTAGTTTTTTATAGTAGCTAGATAATTTTGTCGCTACTCGACGAGGAACAGGTCGTAATTATCGGAAAAAGTACAAGCCCAATTTTTAGCGACGAACTAGTCCGAAACCAATATCGCAATGTGCTCGGGCAATGTTCCTTTAGGCTGCTCCTACACTATAGTGCGACATCGGAATCATTTTTATCGATCTCGACGAAATTACGGTCTCCGTCGTTTTCCGGACGCGAAATGTCAGTGGAATTACGTCTCCCGGACTCGTCGAGGCGCGAGCATACTGCCATCAGGTTATTTCGAAGTCTCGATATTAAAATGAAAATTGTCGGGAGATTTGAATAGCGAGAGAAAATCTTAAAAGATTTAAAAGAAATAAAAATGAAAATTATATAGGATATCCCGGATTGTTATATTGTTTTTATTGTCAGTTATGATAATTTAATATTTTGTTTAAAATATCTCATTATTGAACTTTTAAATATATCTGTAAGAAAATATAGTTTTTATATATAGTTAATTATAATTCTCTCTCTCTCTCTCTCTCTCTGTTTCAGAATGGCAAGCCTTTTCTTACTAAATATATCTGATTTCTCTCTGATATTCTCCCTAAATCAATTTTGAAAATCGGAACGAGTTAAGTCAATCGAACATAATTTATATTGGAAAAGATAAGATTTCTGCTATATGTAAAAAGCTTTCATCTTTTTGAATTTTATTCGGGATGATCTCCTT